GAGGGCACAGTATAGTGGAAAGAATACAGGCTTTGGAACTGGGCTGATCTGAGTTCAAATACTAGCCCTGTGTGCCTCCTGCCAGCCCTTTGCCTTGGAAATGTACTTTCCTTCTGGCTCCCTTTGCTTATGATAAAATGGAAAGTGTCACCTCCTTACAGGGTTGTAGTGAGAATGAGCAATACTGTATATATGGTACCTCACTTGCCTGGCACCTGAGCAGCGTACCTCCTGGTTGATCCTGTTGAAAAAGTCTAGCAGGATGCCTTGGTTTAGGTACCTGGAAATTGTTATAAAAAGTAGCCTAGAGGGGCCAACCCGGTGGTGTAGTCGTGAGGTTCGTGTGCTCCACTTCGGAGGCCCCGGGGTTTGCGGGTTCGGATCCTGGGCGCAGGCCTACACCACTCATCAAGCCATGCTGTGATGGCATCCCATATACAAAGTGGAGGAAGACTGGCACAGATGTTAGCTCAGGGCCAATCTTCCTCTCCAAAAAAAAAAAGAAAAAAGCCTGTGAGGGGTAGAAAAGGCCAACTCCAGGTGGTTTAAAGAGTTAAATCTAGGGTCAGCCCCGTGGCTTAGCGGTTGAGTGCCTGCGCTCCGCTGCTGGCGGCCCAGGGTTCGGATCCCGGGCGTGCATCAATGCACTGCTTCTCCAGCCATGCTGAGGCTGTGTCCCGTGTACAGCAACTAGAAGGATGTGCAGCTATGACATACAACTATCTACTGGGGCTTTGGGGGGAAAAAATAAATAAAATTAAAAAAAAAAAGTTAAATCTAAAATATGTAAACTTTTTTTTTTTTTAACTAAAAGGCAGTTGTGTGTTTAACCTTTCTCAGGATGAGAAAAGACTTTCTGAGTATAAAAACTAAAAGAAGAGCCAAAGTAAGGTCAGTGGAGTTGACTGTCAAAATTTTTGAGCTACCCTATGTTAAATATCATGAATGCAATTAAAAGGCAAATAACAAATGAGAAAAATATTTGCGGAAAGTATGACAGACAAAGGGAAAATATCTTACTATCTCCCATTACAGATCAGTAAGGAAAATACTAACACCCCATAAAAGAATGGACAAAGGACATGTTCACAGCAGAAAAAATGCCAACAGCAAACAGGCACGTGAAAAACGGTTGAACTGGGGTAGTATAATTATTAAAGAACTGTGTGTTTGAAGAATGAGTTGCCATTTCTCCCTTATTTTTTTCATCATTGTCAGTAGATAATGTTCACTATTGGTGATGTGGCCGGAAGATGGGTAGTGGCATATTTTCCTGATGGAATTATAAATGGCCACAACCTTCTTAAGAAAGCAGTTTTGTATAAATCAAAAAGCCTTAAAGGTCATACCGTTGGATCCAGTAATTCCGTTTTTAAGAGTATATCCTAGAAATATACTCAGGAATGTTTTTCCCAAGACCTACTTGTAGTAGCTTTTTCTTTCTTTCTTCTTTTTTTTTTTTTTTAGTAATACAGGTATATTAAAATCTCAGTCTCCAGCCGTGTGTACCTCACTGCTACATCCTCAGTCCTGGCACAGTGCCTGCCGTACACGGGTAGTGAGGAAATATTTGAGTTTAAAGAAGGAAGGATATGTTCATCCAGAGGAATATTATATCGCCATATTTCTAAAATACTACATATTAAGATGTAGAAAAAGCTCACAGTATAATGTTAAACGTGTAGAGTCCACGATTGTATATATAGAATATTCCGTGTGTGTTTGTTTTCTGAATTCTGGACCATAGGATTAAAGGTGGTTTTTATATTTTCTTGGTGCTTTCCCTCAGTCATTTGTGCATGTTTATTGATGTGTGTGAGAGGCACTGAGCATATTTCTAAAGAGCAAGACAAGTGTCCTCCCCTCCTGGGGTGTATCAGAGAGCAGGAAGGCAGACACCAAACAAGGAACTACAGGTGTGTTGTTTACTTTAGTGAACTTATGTTGCTTTCGTAGTAGAAAGAAAAAGTATGCTGCTGATGATATTTAAGCATTGATGGTTGTTTGTAATTTCTAAGACACCTTTTTAGGGTAAGAAAGGAGCGATTAAGTGAAAAGCTACATAGATCTCATAGAGTGTGAAGTTACCTTTCCAATGAGAAGAAAAATGTTTAGATTTCCTGTCTGTTGGGTGGTTAGTAATGACATAATAAATACACCCAGATCTTTTTCCTAAATAGCATCTTTCTAAGAGAACCTGAATAGGCTCCTCTCTTGGGGAGGTGGAGGTGACTTGTGGAACTTTGGGGAGCTCCAGCATTCCTCGGAAATCATACTTAAGCATTCAAATGAACTGGTTGTGGTTGGGGAGTGAGTGAGAATGTTGATCAGCATTAATTTAAAACTGTATATTTTTTGCTTTTTCCATCTATTTGAGAGGTTTCGAGTGTGTGGAAAACCAAGAACATCGACAACAAAACCCACCCTGTAGACTGACTGTGATCCTGAAAGCTTCTTTTAACTGGGATCAGGGATGGAAAATTTTATCCTAAGCCACGGTTTGTTAGGGATGTGTTTTTGTTTTGTTTTGTTTTGAAGAAAGACCCGAGTGAATCACAAGAGTTACAGAGACGTGTTTTGGTAGCTTAACCATGCCTAATGGCTGTGGCTGCGTTCCTGCAAGCATCCTGACCCGCTCTTCCAGCGGGCCCATCCGCCCGTCAGCCTGAGCCTCTGTGCACAGCCACGCGAGCTCCTCGGGCCCTTTCCCCACTTCCTAGGTGGAAAGAGCCTCACGCATCCTGGTTAGGTTAAAGGGTGGCCCTGCTGTCTGTTGGCGCTCCGGCCTTGAGAAGAAGGCAGCATTTGTGAGCTCGGTGTTGCCCTGGTAGAATGCCTTGCCCTCTCCTCTGTCTCCTGCAAATTAGGAATGCGCTCTCTAAGCCAAGGGTGTTGGAAGGAACAAATAACAAGCAACAGAGTGATGACGTCACCGCTCACAGTGGGTGCACTGTGTATGTATCACTGGCTCCTTCGGGGACTGATTAGAGCAGCTTCCTCCCACGTGAAGGCTCGCCCTCTTCTGCTTTTTGGTACAACTCATGTTTATATTGGATGTAATGTGTTTAAAACCAGCCTGAGTCTTTTCCTCATTTGAAAACTTCAGAACTTAGGAACGTTAAGTGAAATGTGGATCTGTTGAACATCACTTTCCATCCGTGCTGGTATTTCCCTCTTGCATTTGGAATTCTCTTTCACTTGCTAGATCTGTTCTGGCTTCATGTTCCCAGGTAGAGTTACAGTGCTTACCTCTTCTCTTCCATTGGCCTCAGCACCCGCTCCTCCCCAATAATGTTACTCTTCTGTGAGAGCCTCATCCAGGGTTGTCTTCGTGTTGTGGTGAAGTGTGTTTCCTCTCTCCCTCGTTTCACTCTGCTGTCCTCATGTCTGTGCTTGATTTTTAGGTTAAGGCCTGTTGCATAAGTCCCTGATTATGTCAAGGGCAGCAGAAGTTCTGCTTCCAGCTCTGTTGAATCTTGACCTGGTAACTGACTTTACCACCTAAATAAAGGAGCCCTGGGCCCTCTAATCTCATGGACGATGCCCTCCCCTCTGATATCTTTTTTCCAGTAGGACATACATCTCCTCTGTCTGGAATACTTATTTCAGAGAGCAACTTTTTGCTTTTCTGAGATGGACCTGGGTCCCCCGAGGACAGGGTCACCTTACCACTGCTCTCTGGTTGGTTGAGGGGTCAGAGGTAAATGCTTCGGTGTTTCCTTACTCCTGGGAGAGAAGAGGTGGCAGACAGTTAAACTCAGTCACTGAAACCAAAAGTTAGTTCATTGCTTCTCTCTTCTGCCTGTAAAAGTTACAACCATGCTTGACAAAGTCCCTGCCAAGAGTTGGGGCCTGGAACTTAGATGTTTATGCAAGTTCACTATTGTTTTGATTTTGATTTTCCTGGTGGAAATCACTGTAAACAGTTAGATTCTCAGAAGCATCCCTACAAGAATAAACATAAACAGAGTACTGCGGTGAAGTGAGCCCTGCAGGAACCCAGATGTGATCCCGTGCATCAGAAGTGAGGCAGAGGAATGGAGGGATCTGCCCAGAGTGGAGGTGAAGAGATGAGGAGGCTTGGTCTGTCCCGGTCTCAACTCCTGGCATGCTCTTTGTTGCTGTGAGCAAGGAAGTTGTTTAATGGCCCCCCTGTCAGCTGTGAAGTAGGGACACCACCTGTTGCTCTTTTGCAGGCCGTGCCGTGAAGCCTCAGTACAGCATTGGACATGAATTGCCTGAGCTCTGTGGACGAAAGGGCAGTGTAAATACCAGGCACTTGTATCCTAAGTGCTCAGGAGTTGCTATCCATTCTCAGAGGCTTACACAGCCAGGCTCAGCTTGACAACATTCTTCTGGTCAAACCAGAGCTCCCTTCTTTGAGAAAATCTTGCTGTTGACTGTTCTGGAAAGAAACAAGCATATATCTCCAAAATACCAAAGTAACTATTGGAAGAGTTGTGACTAGTTTTAACATAGGTACCGATTAGTGAATTAGCATAAATTGTGAAAAGGTGATCAGAACTCAGCACACCGTGGCTTGTTTAAAAGCCCATTTTCCCACACTGACTGTGTCAAAGCACAGAGCACAGCATAAGGCAGATATAAAGGGTTCTTGTAAAAATGACTTTTAATTCCTTCATAGGCCAGAATGGGCGTTTCTGCATTTTGGATGTGGCAATATTAATAATAATAGCTAGCACTCACACTGGACTTAATATGTGCCAGTTGCCAAGTGACTTACATGTGTTATTTCAGTTGAGGCTCACCACAGCCCTGTGTGGCGGGTACTGCCATCATCCCCACTTCACAGATGAGTAAACTAAGGTACAGAGAGGTGAAACGGCTTGCCTAAGGCCACACAGCTGCCCATGACAGAGCCAGTGAAGAGGCCTGCAGTCTGGCCAAGTGGAGGTTTGCGTCTCTCTGACCAGTGTCACCTTCTGTTGCATCTTGATCACACAAGCAGAACATTCAGTGCAGTGACTGCTGTTTTCCAGGAAGAGAATGGAGACTACACATATGTGGAGAGAGTGAAGATCCCCCTGGATCACGGGACCTTGTTGATCATGGAAGGAGCCACCCAAGCTGACTGGCAGGTGAGGACATGCAAGTAATGTGGATTCACTATTATGTGGGGGCAGTCTCCCGACTGGCTCACTATTATTAATTTTTTCAGTAAACGTGGTGAAAAGCAGGTTGCTTTTATAAGGAACAGGAGGGAATAATGTGGCATCATTTCCAAAGAGTTTTGATACTATTGATGATGAAAATGGCCCTCTCCAGCAGCGTCCAATAGAACTTTCTGTGATGATGGAAATATTTTGTTTCTGTGCAGCCCAATGTAGTAGCCACTAGACACGTCTGACTGTTGATCTCTTGAAATGTGGCTAGCGTGCAGAAGAACTGAATTTTCAATTAATTTAAACAGCGTCAGGCAGCCAGTGGCTGGCATATTGGGCTGCACAGCACCACAGCTTAGGTCAGGCCATTTTAAAGCCAGGTCATTTTTGAAAGCATTTTTTGTGTGTGTGTGTGTGAGGGGGAAGATTGGCCCTGAGCTAACATCTCTTGCCAGTCTTCCTCCTTTCTCCCCAAAGCCCCAGTAGATAGTTGTGTGTCATAGTTGTACATCCTTCTAGTTGCTCTCTGTGGGACGCCGCCTCAGCATGGCTTGATGAGCAGTGCTTAGGTCCACACCCAGGATCGGAACCAGCGATCCCCAGGCCGCCGAAGCGGAGCATGCGAACCTAACCGCTGTGCCACTGGGCTGGCCCCAAGCCAGGTCATTTTTACGGTGTGCAAATTAATGTCAGAACACAGCATGAGAGTGGAATCTCATGCCTCTCTTTGGCCTCAGTCATGTGTGTGCTTTCTTATGAAGATTTGGAAAAATGGTAGGGGGCTGAGAGGAAGAGCATCAATTAGAAAAGATGAAACTGTCGCACTGCGAGGGGGCTGGTGTACCGACTTGAGGGCGGGGATGGGACTCATTTCAGAGGAGACCTTTCTCCACAAGACTTAAAGGGCTTATTGCTGCTCGTTAAAGGGAGATAAAATTGAAATGTCTTGTGTCCTCATAAATAAGTTTTAAATTGCTTTGAAGTAAAATGTGTACGTGTGTGTGTCTTTATGTCAGAGTTATTTATGTTTCCACTTAGCATCGAGTGCCCAAAGAGTACCACTCTAGAGAACCGAGAATAAACCTGACCTTTCGAACCGTTTATCCAGACCCTAGAGGGGCGCACTGGTGATGTGAGATCTTTGAGAGAGAAGCCATATGAGACTGAGCAAACCTTCCACGTGAGGAGACTTCGAGGGGCTGGCTCAGCTGAGCTCGTGGTGTGGCTGTTTGGAAGATGAGGAGGAGACTCGCTCCCCAGCCTGGAGTCCTGTTAAATGAGACCCAGCAGTCATGTTCTACTGTGTTTATTGTGGGAGCAGTAATCCCTGATCACATCTTGAAATCACATATTTCCTTTAGGCAAATTGAAAACGGCTGTGGCCGTGCTCACAGATGATTTTGTCCATGAGCAGTGTTCCCCCTGCCCTCCCTTGCCTCATTTGGAGAAATGTGAATGGACTCTGCCCCTGAGGTAAATCCGCGTGTGTTTGTTCCTTGTGACTTGAGCGCGGTGCAGATATAAATATGCGTCAGTGACTCTGGAGTCTTCCGTAGGCAGACAGCTGCTGAAATCCAAACAGAGGTGGTTTCACGGAGCCTTGTTCAAGTCGGCCTCGACTCCTTAACATCCCGCTTGTGTGCTGTTGTAATGGAAAGCTGCAGACTCTGGAGTGCTTTATTTCACTGCGTCTCCTGCCTGTCTGTCTTCCCAGGACTCACTCAGACAGGTTACAGGCCTCCGAGTAAAGAGCGAAGGCAGTCTTCTCTGGTCCAGCCATCTCCAGGCAGCACCTGGACCACTTGTAATACGAGAGAACACTGTCGCCTCAAAAGGAGGACTAATTGAGTGATGTCATGAGAATGTAGGCTGAAGAACAGCAAAGGCCCTGCCAGCGACAGCTGTTCCACATAGATGAGTTTCCCCTGGAGAGTTACTTGAGTCATTTAAAGCCCATCCAGACAGAAGCGGGAGTGGTCCTGCGGGGAACAGACTCAGTTACCTAATAGTTGTGTTCGCTTTAGATTTCAGGAGCCTGATGACTAAGGCTTTCTTCTGACCCAATGTTCTCTTAGACACAAGTTCCCGAGATCCAGGGGTCAGTCCATGATGTCACCAAGGTTCCCAAAACAGAACAGAGAGGCTGCCCCTTATTGCATCATAAAAGCACGTGTCGTCTTGACCTCCTGACTTAGGAGCAGTGTGCCAGATTAATTCCAAACCAAGATAGGGAAAACCTGAGAGAAAGAAAGAAAATGGATTTAAATGGATGAAAATAAGGCAAGAGAGTTAGAGTTTCCCCAGCTGCCTGTTGGGAAAACTTACAGAGCCTTGCTTTTGATGTTGTTTCCATTCCATGCTGTAAGACTGATGATGCCCATGATCAGGGGCTGGTGCCAGAGGCTGGACAAGCTCTTCCCCAGCAGTCAGACGGAGTGCCAGGCCTGGCCGGGCTCTGTCCTCAGACGAGCTCGCGGGCGTCTTGCATTGGAGGCCCATGGTTCTTTTTCAACGTTGCATGTGTATAGCTCCTTTCTCTAAGGAATGCTAAATGCTTTGTAAAATCGGAGCATCATACTAAGCCTTTCTGTAAGGAAGATATAAATCACCAGAAAAATAAAATAAAACCTCTAATTCCGAACTTTTCCCCTAGAGAAACAAAACCTGACCAAGGTGGTACAGCCAGTTCTGGTTACGAGTTTGATGCACAACATTGGGAAATTCCTCTTCTATTCCCACAAATGGAGGAACTGGCAGATGGCTCACGTCTTCCGGCATCCCTCCCTGATGTCGGGTCGTGCTCTCTGCCCGTGTCAGCCGCAGAGTTGATCCTTCACTCATCACGGCCTGTCTGTCAGGGGTGTGGACTCCTACCCTGCAGCAGACAGCTCGGCCACCACCTAGGTGTCTTCATCTGAGCGCAGCAGTCTGAGGTTTTGTTTCTTGCTGTCAAATGCCACACCTGTCACTACTAAGATAATGTCCCTTCTGAAATGTCAAGTAGCTATTTGCCATAGGGAGAAAGTGCAGGGTTTAGACAGGACAGGAGTTCCGGCCCTTGGCAAAGGACAGCCAGGCTCAGGGACTGCACCAGCCTGTTGCTGTGTTGTACTGGTGGCAGATCTTAACTGGGAATTAGAGGTGAGGCTATTTTTTCCCACATTACTTATAAAGCAGAGGAAGCAAATATAACGGCTATAGCATGAGGAAGAACAGGTTGAGTTTTTTAGCTGCCCTTTGTTTGAGCTTTAATAACCTGCCAGGCACTGTCCTAGGAGCTCTTTATACATAATCCTTAATCCTCCCCACAGCCCTGCAAGAAGGAGATACTACTCCCATTGTGGAGACGGCAAGTAAGTTTCCAGGAGGTTAAGTAATTAACAAGACTTCTAAGTGGCAGAACCAGAATTCAAACCACAGGCCACTCTCTCACTGTGTGCTTTTTCCTCTGCCGCGCTGAATTTAGGCAGAAGAGTCTGTTGGGCACCCCTGGGACCCTGAGCCTCCGGGCCTGCTCCTGCAGAGCTGGCACCCAGCTCAGCCTGGTACCCTGGGCAGAGCTGACTCCAGGCCGCCTGGTTTGTTCCCTGGCTTTCCTGTGCATCAGGGCAGGCACTGGCACCTCGTCTGTCCTTAATCAACATTAGCATCTCCTAGTCAGAAAGTGCTGCCAGCTGGACTAGTCATTGGCCATTTGTGCTGGGGAAGCTCATTTCGGGGGACAGAATCCAATTTCTGGCGAGTTAGACAAATTCTCATCCAACATTCCTGGCAAGTGACTGCGAACAGTGTTTCCTGACCAAGCAAATCTCCAGAGGTAGACAGTGGTCCCTTCATTCTTACCTGTGAGTATGTTTGGGGACTCTCAGTGAGGCCCAGCTCAGCATCAGGCTTCTTCTGCCAGCACCATGACTGCAATCAGGAGACAGCCCAAAGAAACAGGGCAGGCTGCACACGGAAGATGTCCTGACAAGAGGCAACGTGCGTGAGAGTGCGGGTCGGGAGAGGGTGACCCCTCACAGCAGATAGTATCCCCGGTATGGAAGTCAGGATCCATGTTGTTGTCATTGACAACCACTAACAGGTGACGTCGACGGTTCCTGATAGGTTTGGTCCCAGCTCATATATTCGCCATGTCCTCGTGGCACTTGCTCCCTGCTGCCTTCATGCCTGCCATGCCCCTGCCCTGGCGGGTGGCAGGTCTGTTTGGACCTCGTCAGTGAGTGTCACCGTCTCCTGAATCGTGTCATGACAACCCCAAGAGAGTTAAGTGGGTGCTGAGAGGAGCAGAATGCTCCAGCTGGAGGGCTTCAGAGAAAGCCGTGATAGGACAGGGCCCTGCCCTGCCGGGAATGTTTCTTCCTGGAGCTCTGGCGGCTTTTACTTGGCTGCAGGATATCTGAGACCCGCTTTGCCTTTTCTGGTCATAAACACTTGTAGTGTTGAATCTGAAGTCCTGATTGCTTTATTAACGACGCCTTTGAAAAAGCCGAGTGTTCCCATAGTGATGCATTCTGCTCGGTTAAATGTTATACACGGTCCCACCCACACGCTCTCCTCAGAGGGACCCAGACAACAACTGTCTCCTTTGCCCTTCCCCATTTTCTCCTTGGGAGGACCCTCCCCAGGAGATCGCTGTCCGTTTTCTGCTACTGGAGTCCATTCTTAGATACGACGACTCCTGTGTCTGGGGGTCAACAGGAAAATGTGGTTGATGTTTGTTTATCAGTGTGGAGCCTTTTCCAGCTGGCTTAGTACTGCTGCGCCGAATTATAAAAGCTTCCCCAGCCTGTGCACAGAGCTCATGTGGGGCTGGGCTATTTTTTAGTGTTAAAGCCGGTGTCGGAGAGCAGTGTGGGAAAACAGGGTAAGTGAGACAGTACCTCTGCAGACAGCATTACCCAAAAGATCATTTTTTTCAAATGAGCCAATTGGAGCTGACCGAGGTATGTGTGACAGCGTCGATATAATTATTTCTATGCTCTCACTCCCCCTCACCCTAATGGTGATGTCACACTCCCTGGACACCAGGGACGGTCCGAGTTCCCACGTGGACATGCTCAGGCAGGATCCTGGCCTCTGAGCCCACAAGCTCTTAACTCCAGACGCAAATTCTAGGTTTCTGAAAGGGAAGGGTAGGTGAAAACCAGGAGGGAGCACAGAGCATTGAGTCTGTTGGGCCTATTACATCCATAATCTGATTTATTCCCCAAAGCAACCCCATGAGATGGGTGTTGGTTTTCTTTTTAAACGCATGAGGAAATTGGGGTACGTAGAGGATTGACCAGATCCTGTGACTGGGTGTCCCGGGTGGGCTGGGAGATCCCTGCGTGGCTGCTTGTCAGCAGGCATTTTAGTGGGGTCCCTGGGCCTCCCTCTCCCCCAGCCCGGGGGCGGAAGGGTGGTGCGGGGGCGGGGTGGCAGCCAGCAGAGTCTCGCTCCTTGCCTGGGAACTTCTCCGGGTGGGACAGGAGGCAGGAGGAAGTGGTGGGCCAGCATGGGGCTCTCGGGGGCCGTGTGATCAGGTTGCAAAATAACCGCCCACTGCAGGAAGGGCGTGGGTGAGCGCGTGGTGAAAGCCCCCGCTGCCAGCGCCTGGAATGATCCAGATGCCCCCCGAGAAGGTGAACGCGAGCGCTGGATCTGGCAACACCTTCCCTGCGGCAGAGGTGGAGACGGAAGGGCTGCCTCACCCTCCCACGAGGCTGCAGCGGGAAGGCCCTCTGATGATCGAGTCTGAGCTTCTGCCACCGGCTCCCTCCTGCCCTCCTCATCTGTGGCTAGAGAAAGGGCATGGGTGGGATTGTCTAGGAAGGGAGTCCGTACCCTCGGAAAGCGACTCTGGGTGGAGGGCTGCATCCTCCCTGACTAAAGAGTGGGAGGATGAAGGGGGTGGCGCAGGGGCAGGGGCCCTTCCAGAACTCTGGTCCACGGATATTCAGGCTGCTGGACCTCCCACGCAGGCCCCGAGAGGAGGGGAGCCCCACAGAAGTGTCTCCCTCATGCCCTTGTTGGTTAGAGGAAACTTTTCTGGAATGTGTCCTCTGAAAAAGTCTCAAGGGATGAGCCACCCTTTTCTTTCCTGCACTCGCTCTCTGACGTTAGCGTTTAGACTCTGTTCACCCGGAGTGAAAAGGAAAGGAAGACAGGTAGCTTAGAGGTAGACATCAAGGGGGAGCCTGAGTGTGTGGCTTCCCTCCCACTGCCCGGCCCTCCCCCATCTGCGTCCTCCATCAGCCTCCTGCCCTGCCTGGGAGGAGGGGGCCACAGAGGAGAGGTAGTGAACTGGGGTGCAGGCCTTGCCCTTTGTCTCCCAAAGCCCTGTGAGGGTGTAGGTTAGGAACCACTCTCCCCATTGCACAGATGAGAACACGGAGGCCCGAAAGAAAGT